TGGATCCATTTCCCACCTTGTTCAGTAGACCATGCAGATGATTCAAGTTAACCTAAATGCCTTTGTGTGGCTTTGTCAGCCAGCTGCCCACAAAAGATTAATTGCATTTTTTTCCTGAATGATGTAGTCCAGGGTCTGGCAACATGTGCTTGTCATCATCATTTTTATCATTTGCTTTCAGTGAGTGGATAAATCACACTTTTGTTTAACAAGGTGCAGTTTTCCCTTACAGTCATAATAGCAAATTCTCCCAAAAATTATTTCTATGTTCAGTGTTGTCCTGCATGAAGGACATCAGTTTCTGTGTTAGAAAGAGAAGAAAAAGGTACCATTTGGTTGCATGCTGTCATTAAAACTATGCCTACTTTCACAGGCACACAAAGCAGCTAACTGTAGTTATCTGAATCTTCTCTGTGTGGTTACAGTAATGGTCAAAATGTGGGATTTTTGTTTTCTTTGCTGTGATTGGTTTCCCTGTCAGATTTTCTCAGTTTGCAAGTCAAAAGTGCAACTCTCTAGATCTTCCCCTGAGATCCTATGCATCCTGAGGATGCACAGGCTGTGCTTCTCGTAGCCTTTCAAACCCAGTAAGAAAGGACAGATCTTTGGTAACTGGATCATGAGGATCCCCTGTGCTGTGAAAGGGACAGGATGATATGCATGTTACCCAGCTAATACTTGCCTTCTGTTAAAGCATCGTTTCTCTCTCCTCATGATCACAATCTGTAAATCCTTCACTTGAGGAAATCCAGCATCAGGAAACCTTGAACTGAGCACTGGCATTGCCAGAAACCTAAATTTGAATGTAATTTTGGGTACCAGAGCTGGCCTGGTAGCTGTGGTTAAATATCAGGGGAAACAAGGGGACTTGAAACTGTAATTATACTGGTGTGCTTGTAGGGAATATTTTTTTATAACTCTGATTTCTTCTCTTAAATGTTTGCTGGTTGTGATGATCTCATCACACAGAAGAAGGAGATGCCCAGGTGAACGTGTGGGTCTGAAGCCTCAATTTTTTTCCAGCTCCAAATTCATGCTCCCACATGTACACAGCACGATAGGGATGTAGAAATGGAGAGCATTTGCTGTCAGGAGGGTATCTTCAACTAGCAGAACCGAAGGTGTTTCAACACAGCCAAATTGAAGGCAGTCATCCTAACTAAAGGAAATAGAGTGGTGGCTGTGTGCTGAGCTCAGATGCTTCAGGAGGTGGAAAAGGAAGGATTTGTGTTGGGAGTGTTATTGCTGAAATATAGGGAATCAAGGATGCCACAGGGTTGTGAGATTTGCTGGGATAAATATGTGTCTCACCACAGATGCTGAGAGCCAAAGATCCAGCCATAAGTGAATAAATAAAAATAAGTGATGAACAACTGCTGCTTGCTGAGGATATCAAGCACATCACCAGCACTGCGCCAGGCAGCTGCCAAGGGTCACATCTTGAGAGTACTCTGCTGGAGAGGAGATTCAGGGTAGTTGATGGGCACCTGCAGTGCTGCTCTTTCTGCTTTTTGGGTCCTCAGATACCTATTTACCCTTGGATTCAGAACTTGAGCATCCAGCCTTTGCTGCACCCCCACATGTGGGACTGCAGGATACACCTCTCTTCTTTCTCATGTGGTATTTTGGGAAAGCATGCTGCTTTGATCCCATGCTTGCTTTACTGGGTTTGTGTTGGCTGTTTATTACCAATGCCATTTCATGCAAAGAGGGTCATAGTCTGGTAGTCTACCTGCTCCTTCTGCTTATGCCTCGTCTGCAGACCTAATCTGCTCATCCTAATAATCCTGTTGGTTGCTATAGCAATGATAAAATGTTATGAAAAAGGCAGAATAATTCTTAAGTGGATGGCTGGTGTTTTTTCTCCCTCCTGGGAAGGAGAAACCCAATAATGGAGATTTGTTTGGTGTGTTACTGTTTTACCTAAAGCTTTAACTGTAGGCTTTTTGGAGCCTGAATGCAGTCCTTCTCTCTCAGCATCCTTTGAGGCTGGGAATGTTGCAGCTCCAAAGCAGTTAGGGAAGAGCAAGGACCCAAATTAATGAAAACAAGGTACATATCCTTTTGGTTTTAAGATGCCAAAAGTAATACTTATTGTGATCTGAAGAGAGTGTGAAGTTTGCCATGGCCACCCCACCATAATGGGAACGTGCTGCAGAGCGCTTAGGGCCCTGTTTGGTTTCTGAAAGTATTGAAAGATATCTGAATATGTTAGCTGTGGGTTTGGTTTGGGTTTGCATCAGGAGAATTACTCAGCACTACCATCAAAAGTGGTATTTTGATAAGTAAATTTAAAAATTTTAACACCCTTAGCAATCCAGAGAGAAGGCAGCAGAAGATGCCATGCTTTTGCTTAGTAGCTGCATATAGGAATGAGTGACTGTTTAGTTCTACCAAGCCTCCTCTTTTACATACCTGAGAGAGCAAAAAATTACTTACTCTGTATTTCCAACTTTTTTTCCAAGTTTATAGTCAGGATCATATATCTGTGAAAAAAAGTTGTCAGAAACAGTTTAGTTTCTAATAGCCAGAAAGAGCCAGCTTTGTGCGAATTTCAAAGCCCATCACCCTGGTGAACATGGGCAAGCAAAGCATTAAGTGCTGACACAGATTGGTCCCTTCTCCTCTCTTGTCTTGCTGTGAAAGCATTTCCTATGTGAAACAGCTCAACCTGCCCAGCTGTGGTAGAATCAGCTTGTTCCTGCCTGCTAGGGATCACTATACAAGATCAGGCCAGGGATATATTGAGTGAGATGCTCTTTCTGACAGTTGCCATTTAAAAATGCCTCAAGCTAAAGCATTCAGGACCATGTGGGCAGGTATATTCTTCTCCATATTAAATCTCAAAGGGACTTAGTTGGAGATTGGGTTAAATCTCAAATGGAAGGATTATATCACTTCTGAATTTATGGCTGACATTAACTCTGGACATTCCTGTTACCTGAATAAAATTGAGTCCCTTTTTGAATCTTTTATAACCTGGCTTGATTAAAACCTATTAGTTAAATTCAAGTTTGCCTAGTTAAGCATTCATATAATGTTTTCTTACAGGAGACAGCTTTGTTTCCTTATTTCCAAACACAGCAGCTCATCTTGCTTTCCATCAGCATAAACAAAAATATCAGGTGAGAGAAAACAAGTCTTTTTTTCCCAGCTGCATGTATTGAGGAGCCTCCCTGGCATGCAGCCCCCATACAGTGCGGCCTTCTATTTTGTCCTGTGCTCAAAAGCCTGATTAAGTGATCCAGTAAGGCCATATGCCTGGGGCTGAGAAAGGCTGGGGGAGGATGAGGGAGAGGCAGGAGAGCAGTTTACCCTCTCCTCTACCTGCACAGACATGGAGAAACACCATCCCAGGAAATAGAACCAGGCCAACATTCAAGCACCACCGGAGGCAGCTCCAGAGGCCTCCATCTAGCCTTAGGTTTGGCCAGATTATTTTGTTTTTTTTTTTTAAATAATTAGTAGGTGTGAGCTTTCAGAGAGCTTGTCACTAAGGGGATTTGTACCATCCAGAGACCCTTGGGGCTTATATATCCTCAGCAACTCCATTCAAGGCAAACAAATGGAGTTTGCCTTGAAAGAAAAATCAGGTAATGAGTTGCAGAGAAGAGATTGTACCCAGACTCCCACATGCCTTGGAAAGACTGAGTGCCATTCCACAGGGCCACCTCTACCCCTAAAAGAGGTAAATAGGGTCTCCAGGCCACAGCCATTGGTGAAGGCATCCCTGCCAGGATTGCTGCATATGGGGACTGGCTTTTTTGGTTGGTTGTTTGGGCTGAGGGTATAAGGCGTTGGTGACAGCCAGGTATCATGAGCCCTCTGACACCCCTGTGCTGACTATCTCTAGTTGCCCTGCCAAAGACTTACTTTCCTGGTGGAAAGTTTTTGTCTTAACAATTTAACACTGGAGGTAAAAGCTATGGGGTGCCCTTAAGTATTGCTGCTCTAGGTCTCTACAAATGATAGTGGGAATGGTCTTGGTGACCATTTTTGGTTCGGTCATCTCTTTGGTTCCCAGAGGGGATTTGGAGCAAAGGCTTAATGGGTCATGTAAAAGGTGGGGAGAAGGCTTTCCTTCATGGGTTGATGCTTGTAAAGGAATCAAGGTATGTCTTGGCAGCCACCTGCCAAGCTGTGATGATCCTGAAAAACACAAGTCCAAAGGCTGCAGCTCCAAGGGATAAACTGAAGCAGGAGGACAACTGCTGGCTGAGTGCTTGGAAATGACAGCAGAGAGGTCGAGGAGTGGGGAAACAGGGTGGTTACAGGGAAATGGAGAGTCTTCAAATGTGTGTGGCTGCTCTTGCTCCTGTTCAAAGTGCCTGATAGAGCGGTGGTACTCTTGCCTTCAAGGATGGATTTGAGTGTTTGTGGATCTGCTTGATGGTGATACCTGAGCAGTAGCTGAAGTGAAACTTGTCTTCTTAAACATGAAAATATGCTACCCTCTGATAAGTGCCAAGAGCCTTCAGAGCGTCTGCATTCTCCATCTTTTCTTTTTAATTCTGCTTTTTGACTGTAGATATGTTGCAAAGGGCCAATATAAGTTATCCTAGCCAATAGTGGGAGTCGAATGTGCTGGTTTCTGTTAGTCATTATTTTTTTTCATTCATCTGGCACTTTGCAGAGAGTTTTTGCCCCCACATTGTGTAGGCTGCTGTCTTACTTTCTTTTTTTGTAGCAAGCATGTGAGCATAGCCTTGCTTACACTCCAAGCAACTGAGGAACCACCATAAATGTAGCTTATCTGCTTTCTAATACATTTTCTTTTGCATTGGTTTGGATTTGTGCATTGTCAGTAACATCTGTTCTGCTTTAGTGGCATACAGTTTTCCAAGTCTAATTAGCTGGCTGCTTGTAATCAGGACTATTTCAACTGTTGTCATTCTGAATGTTCTTTTTCCCTTTTTTTTAATACCACATTTGCCTGATTGACCGTTTTTGTTGTTTTGTTTTGTTTTTTTTTTCTCTTTCTTTCTATTGGGCTGCTCCAGGAGCCATGGCTAATCATCTTATAACCAATGCTCTGCTTCGTCCTCATGGCACTAACAACCCTTATAATACATTGCTCGGGGAAACGGCGGTCTATAACAACCCTTCTGTCAGCATGTACAACGCACAAGGTGTGCTGGAGTTTCTCTCTAATTTTTCTAGTGAGAATTCCATTTTCTGTGGCTTCTTTTGGCCCATTTCTTTCTTTTTTTTCCTTCTTTTTTTTTTTTTTTCCCTCCCCATGCACACACACTGTTGTTTTGTTTTGGTTTTGTTTTTTTTTTTGGAACTGGGCACAAAAAAAGATCCCCTCCCCTTCTTTTCATTTCGATGCATCTTTCCGTATTTTGGAGGCTTTTTTTCCATGAGCAATCAAATTCACTTTGAGAGACCCTCGTCAGTTCTACTCAAAGAATTCATAGTGGTTTTGATTTTGTTTTTTGGGTTTTTTTCCCTCAATCTCCTCTCTTTTGTGTTGTTTTGGTCTTGTGTGTGTATTTTCTTGGATGTATCCATTCCACTCTTTGTTATCAGCACATTTCCCTGTTAAACCATTCATTTCAGAAACAGGAACACCTTTGAAGGTAAGTGAAGCTAAAATGGCCTTTGCCACCAAAGCTACTCTCATTTGAAATGGCATAAAGAAATGTGGTCAGCTGCACACTGGCTTGTACAGGAAAAAAAAAAAAAAGCAAAATAAAGCAAAACTGCCCTTGCTCTCTAAGAAAAATAATAGCTGAAGTGAGAAACATGGGTCACCTCCAAAGAGCAGAGCTTAGTTATTGTAAGAAATGTTTTGCCGTTTGCATTAATACATTTTATATGTGCTACCAGAAAGAAATTTAAAAAAAAAGGAAGAGAGTAGAAGAGACATAGGGAGACTAGAAGCTCTTGCATGTCTTCCTTTCAGCAATGGAAAATAAACAGAGTCAGTTGTAGCTAATGCAGGTTTCTGTTGTAGAAATCAGTCTCTTGTCACCTACATGTTTGTCTCTGCTCAGGCTGTGGGAAGGGACCATGTTTGTAAGCTGATGTCCTAATGCTTCTGTGAAGGAGAGGCAGATGCATTTAAGCAGGACCTGAGGAGGAGCTGGGGAGTGTGGAACACTGCCAGCTCCTGTCTCTTGGTGACTCCATCTTGCTCTGCCACTTCCATGGGATTGCTAAATTTTTTTTTTTGGCTTACTTGCAAGGTGGCTGAATCGTTACAGAGTAACACTGCTTTCAAGCGCAAGTATGTCAGTACTCTGTCAGCTGTCTGCTTCCAGTGAAGGCATCCCTTTCCAGTAAAGGATCTCTAAGGAAGGGAAAATAATGATGGTTACAACGCAAGCAGGAAAACGCCCTTTGTATTTTATGGCAGCATATTGTTTACAGTAGAAATAGATACTGAACTGTATCACCTGGGTTTTTTCATTCAAAGCACAAGGAAAGCACGTGTTTGACCTTTTTACTGTTCATTAATTTCCTAAACTATGGTACCTTGGTGCAATAAATTTGCTTCCAAGAACACTTTTTTAAAAAGGGCTACTGTTAAACACAAAATGCGCTGAATTTTAAGAACTTCAGTGTACTGCAGATGTTGAAATAAGCTGTGATGTTCTGCATAGTTTCTTGCATGATAACATTGAGGTTTGGGGGGCTTTTAAATCAGGTGGCAACAGGTAATGCTGAGTCAGAATTTAGGCTTAAGAGAAGTCCTGATTTTCAGGTCTGGGTGCCTCAACCAAGCCCACGTGATTTGGGTAAAAAATGTGACAAAAATATTTAATGTGCATTTTAATAATCTTGTGTTTTTCTAATTTTTAAGGATAGATTCTGATACAGTTACCTGAGCTAACATTTTATTCCACAACATAGTGTAATTGTTTTGCAAGTGCTATTCAGTGAAACACAGCCAGATGGATAACCAAGAAACCTACCAAGGCTTCATCCTTAGGAGATGAAGAAAGAGTGGGACCAGTACTGATCCCATTGACTGATCCTCTGGAGCTTTTCTATTGACTTCAGAGGGAGCAGAACCCAACCCATTCTTTTTAGGAGGCTGCAAGCTAAATAATTACCACAGAACTGGTATAGCTATTGCTTTGCAAACTAGTTACTGTCCCTGGACAGCTACAAACACTGAACAGAGGAAATCCTGAAGCAGAAATGAAAGTTAGCAAAACCAACTGGGCCCTAATGGCCTCACAGAAGTTCTTTGGGCTTTAAGGATGCTGCATCAGCAGGCATACTAAAGCAATGATAGTTCATTGTAAAAGCAGATGCTGTCACCACCTCTGGGTGTGCCTTGGCTGGGATCAGCATGTGGTGAGGTCATCGCTAGCTAACATCATCCAACTAACTCATTTCCACATCACTAAGGCTATGATTTTTTTTTGTACCTGCATCTACCAGTTCTGGTGATGGCCACTGACAAGACAAGACACTATAAGAAATCTGGGGCCTGATCTGATCCAGCCCTTGCTTTTCTCCCTCCCCAGTTACGTGTTTTAAGATACCTTCTGCTCAAGCTGAAGCTGCCTGTGGAGCCCTAAGAATAAACCTTGGGAACACACAGGGAATCAGACCTTAAAAGGCCAAAGTCCCATTTTCCAGTGGCAAAAGAGATTCTTCGATAGACGCAGAGTGTAGAGGTTGAAGGCAATGTTAGGTGGAGGAGTCTGACACTCTGCAGAACGTGCCAAACACTCACTGCTGTTGGCAACTGATGGATGTCCGCTGGCTCGGTCTCTCAAACACAGGAGTTTCTTGAAATGGCCTAACTGCTTTCATGAGATTTAATTTTAAGAGAGAACGTCAATCCTGTTAGAGGGCTCTGCTTAAACCCCAACGTGCCACAGATCATTGCAAAGTGGGAAGCTAAGAGTTTTCACTGGCTCTTCATCTTCATCCCTGGCTCTTCATGTTTTAACCTTTTCTTCTCAATATCTTCATTTAGCAATGCCATTATTCAAACTACTATTCCTCTTTTTTTTCTGCAAAGTCTATGTAGTTTGCCATGTGTTCAATTAAAAAAAAAAGAGCAGACTTATCAAAGTCTATAAAATGCCAGCAGCCCTCTGATGAGCAAAGTCATACTCTTACAAAGCACTGTTGCGAAGGATGGATGGCAAAACATTTTTAGTAAGGAAAAGGATTTAGTTTTCAAATTCCAAGGGTTATTATAACTAACAGTAAGTAAAGCCATTCATTTTAAGACTTTGGAAGTGATGTTGACAGTGCCTGTCTTTTCAAGCATGACCGTTACCAGCTTTAGACTTTTGTTAAATTTCCAGGCATTATTTCTTGATTTGTGTTGCACAATGAATGTTTTATAATGGCATTGGAAAACGTTTTAAATGTGATTTTTTTTTTAATAAAAATGTAGTCTATTGAATATTGCGCGTAAAATAATTTTCTGTCTAAAATGTCAATATTTTTTACCTGAAATAAACCATGTAACAAATTCGTGTATTCTGGGCAGTGGAAATTATTTCTGTTAACTCTTTTTTCTGCACATCATCAATTTGCTTTTTACTCATGTTTCTCCTACTGTCGCTGTAAGCTTACTTGTTGTTTTTTCTTTCCTTTTCTTCATGCTGTCGTTTAGAGCCCTACAGAGAGACAAGTATGGGAGTAAAGCTAAACATTGCATATCAAATGTAATTTTTTTTAGTTCACTTTTATTGCATCACATATAGATGATGTAGCTAATAAAGGAAATTCATCTCAGTTTTGAAATCAAAAGAATATGAATATACATGTATATATACGTGTATGTGTGTGTATGTATGTGTGTATATATATGTATGCATATACATATATATATGAGATTAGATGATGCTTTCTTTGTTTATTTCTCATTTTTGTGGTATAGTTTACCCAGTGTAGTTTCTCATATAATTTTGTGTATGCTTTTTTTTACACTTCACATTTTTATTTGCAAGGTCATGGCATTTTTATATGGTGTGTTTCATTGCGGACCTCACTCTCTTCTTACTTGTGATGCCTCCATTTTATTTCTCCACCAATCCCCAGATCTATGCATTGGCAGCAGAAGCACAGCACTCAGCACCTCAATGCATATGTCACTCAACATGACCATCAGACAAATGCTATTGTACCCATCACCCATTACCTACAGTTCCCCCCCAGGTGCACACTTTTCATTTTTCTTCAAGCATTGTGACACAGTTGGAGAGTTTCCACCGTGAAAATCAGCAGCTTTGCTCTATGTCTGTGATGGCTAGTTTATTTTTTGGCATAGCTCCCTCATTTGCTGAAAAACTCAAGATATAGCAGCACCCTCTAAGCTTCAGAAACCTAAAAGGTGACAGACACATTCAGGGCATTTCACTCAAAAGCAAGAAGAAAGCCTGCAGCAGTGCCTTCCAGCCCTTGACATGCAGCAACTAATCCATCGCAGATATAGACCGAATCCTGTATTTTCAGAAGGTACACATGCCATGTACCAGCATGGTATGAGCAACTGTTCATCTGAAATTGTCAGCTAATGGCTCCTCTAATCCATCACAGCTTGCTGGAAGTTGTTTGCCATTTTTTGCCAACGACCAAAGCCTTTAGCTGAAAGGTCGATGCATTATTTCATGAATCCCCGCACCTGTACTCCTTCCAAAGAGGCCAATAATCCCAAAAAAGAAAGCATGGTGACTTAACTGCTGGGCCTGATTTTCTTCTCCCTTGTCCACTCATGCTGCATTGCTCTCAGAATGCTTCCCCACCTTGTCCCATAGAGTGCTGGGAAAGAGCCAAGCTACAGCCTTATGTTGACAGTGTTGAGACACCTATGGAGATGCAATAGGCATTTAGTTGGAGGGCACACCAAGACTCTGTTACTCCTTGCAGTTTCCCCCAAGATCGCTGTACTGTGACAGTGATGGTACTTGCTGTACCTTCCACTGCTTTGCAAGTCAAATGAGAGCTATTTCAAACATTTTTTGCAGGACCCCACAGCAGCTGCCTCCAACATAGATTGTATTATAAAATCCCCACCCAGCCAATGTGGAAAAATAATTTTGGCCATGCCCTTGTTACAGGAGAGGTAGGGCGTTTAGCCTTGTTCTAAAAAAGCCTGGGCCGGGAAGCACTTTGTGCCACCACCTTGCTCATCTCTGAATCCCACCATTCAGGCCTTACGCCTTTCCTCTGACAGCCTGCCCAGCAAGGGTGATTTAGACCAGTCCAGAGTCACCTATTCCTCAGCTCCCTCAGGGATGCACAGAGCAAAGCGCAAGAGCCACAGGAGGTACTGGCCAGGATAGGCGATTCCTTCCTGCTGGCTGTTGCTACACCAAGTCACACACTTGACAGCTCTTTCCATTTTTTCGGTGGGAAGACCTTAAGCTGGTTAGCTGGAGCTGTGCCCTACTATTTTGGCTGCAACACTCTTCTTGCTGCCGAGCCCCTGCAGCCATGGCAGCCTAGGAAGGGGGTTTGAGTGTGCACATCCCACGTGAGTGTCCTGTTTGTACAAGTCACCCTCTCTTGTGTAATGTTTTTCAGAGGGGCTTCTGAACAATGCCAGGGATACAAGTGTCACGGATACTCTACCACTGAATGGTAATCACAGCAACAGCTACAGCATCGCCAGCGGCGAGTACCTCAGCAACTGCGTGCAAATCCTTGATCGTGGGTACAACCACACCGAGAACGCCCTCGAGAAAAAGATTCTGAAGGAACTCACCTCCAACTACATCCCTTCCTACCTGAACAACCATGAGCGCTCCAGCGAGCAGAGCCGCAACCTGATGAACAAACTTGTCAACAGCGTGGGCGGCGGGAGTGAGGATGACGCCATTGTGCTGGACGACGCCACCTCCTTCACCCACGAGGAGAGCCTGGGCCTGGAGCTCATCCATGAGGAGTCGGATGCCCCGCTGCTGCCCCCCCGGGTATACTCTGCGGACAACCACCAGCCCCACCTCTACAGCCGGCGGTGCATCCCGCAAGACAACAGTGAGAGTTTTTTCCCCTTGCTGACCAACGAGCACACGGACGACCTCCAGTCACCCAACAGGGATTCTCTCTATACCAGTATGCCCGCGCTGGCCGGCATGCCCATGACGGAAAGTGTCACAGCCAGCACCCAGACCGATCCCCCACCAGCCAAAAGCAATGGTGGCGACGCTGATGATGTTTACTACAAAAGTATGCCCAACCTTGGCTCCAGGAACCACGTCCATCAGCTACACACTTACTACCAGCTAGGTCGAGGCAGCAGCGACGGTTTTATAGTCCCACCAAACAAAGAGGGAACCCCCCCGGACGGCAATGCAAAAGGACCTGCTCACTTGGTCACTAGTCTATAGAAGATTCAGCAAAAATTAAGCAAAGAGACAACAAAAAGCCCCTCCGTAACGCTCGGTTTACTGTTCTGAGTTAATCCAAACAGTGGTAATATTGTGTGTACTCCTAAATCTTCATGCTGTTCGAAAGGAAACTCTTGGACTTTTTTTACTGGAATTTTTAGGCCGGCCCGGAGAGGACAGTAACTGCTGCCCCCCCCCCCCCCTTCTCCCCCCATCCTCCTTCCCTCCAGATAGACTTCATTATGTTAATGAAAGAGATAGATAACGGCACGCTTTGTGGCCTTCTCAAGTTATGCCGTGTTTGTTTAAACAATCCTTGATGCTGTGTTGCTCTTAATACCAAGGACCTGATTTAAGAGGAAAAAAATTAAAAAAAGGCAAAAACAAACAAACAAAAGTAAAGAAAAAATAAAAGGCCAAAAATGTGCATTTAAAACTAGTAGCGATGACTCATCTAGGTGGGAGCGCTGCACAAAAACAAGCTAGCAAAACTCTTTCTTACCAATCCAGATCACCTCATGGGTTTTGGTCACTCACAACTTGGTTTCACTGCAGCGCCCTTTGCTGTGGGAGCAAACAAAACAAAAATTTAATGAGATGGAAGGGAATCCTAGAATTCTGTGCTAAAGGCATATTTTATGTTTTGCTGTATTAACGGATGATAAAAACTAATGGCAGATAAAGAGAAGAGAACAATTTCTATGTAATGTACAGATACTAGCATTGCACATATAGTCTGCTTTCTGTTCCTCCAGAACTTGCGTCCCTGTTAATGTAGTGGAAAAAAAAACAAAAAACTTTTTTCTGTTGTGCTGGTCTTGTAAGTTTGTCTACCAGTAGGAGCAAGGTTTTTCATAACTCCTCCTTTTTTTTTCGGTTTTGTTTTGCCTCTTCCACTGTTCCTCACCTTCATCCTGTCCCCATCCCAGTAAAAAAAAAAAAATCTCTGGGGAAAAAAAAAAACAAACATCACTTTATAAGGACTATTTTTAGTAACACCATCACCATTTCTTTTCAGCCAAGGCAGTCTTTTTATTTCCTCGCTGTACAACTTTCTACAGCCAGTGTATTGCTGGCAGACCTCTTGGCAGACTAGACCAGGGCAAACTTCCCCATTGACAGTGCACAACCGATCGTGACAATAATCCTGTGAAGCGTCTTTGGCAAGCAGCCCCTCAGCCAGGCCGTAGGGTTGCATCCAGGAGCTGAGAGGTTCATTTTATTGTCATAGCAGGGCTTCCACAGGAGATGGCCATTTTCCTGGAGGAGCAAAGAGCCTTCACGGCTCAATCTGGTCCCCGGTTTAGGCACTTGTACTGCAGTGGTTAAGAAAACTGATTGATGTGTAGTGAGCTAAAAAGTACTTTGCAGTGATTAAAAAAAAAGGTCTTCTGTTCATTATTTTTCCTAACAGGAAATTTATTTATTTGACAGGATTTTTAATTAACATAGGCTTTCTGGAGGTAAATTAGCAGCACGGAGTATGAATAATTATTTTTTTTCTTTTTTTATTTTTTATTTTTTTTTAATTTATGATCCATTTTGTACGGTCTCAACAGTTGAATGACCTCATTACTAATATTTGTTGTAAAAGTGAAGCTTGTTTGCCAACCAATAAACAACTGATCACGATTTAGAAGATACTGTATGTATGTACTGTACAATTAATCTCTCCTTTTTTGTTGTTGTTGTTGTTCATCTCTCCATTACTGTCTTCAGTACAAGTCTCCACTCCTTTATGGCATGGGTGAGCAATGCCAAAGAAAGGAGGCCTAAGCTGAGCAATTTAAGCACAAAGGTTACACAGCTGCGGCTGACTAGAAATATCAGGCTAACAGTACTTGTTTAGGGGTAAGAACAACACTGATCGATACTTGTTGCAGGTGATTCTAGGTCTGTTTTGTGCCTACTGTATAAACTAGCCAACGACACGCGGATTATTTGAGTATAGTATTTCATGTGTCGTACCTTTTAATCATTGTAATGTTTTAATTTTTTTTTTTTTTTAAGTTTGTTTTTTCTGAGATTAAAAAACTGCTGGTAGCATGTCAAAGAGTAAAACAAGTCCCCGTTAGGCCTCCTCAGTCATTGTTTGCTGTCTCTTTATTTTCTTGCTCCGAGCATATGCAAAGCACCATCATTGTCCTAGGCTACATAACCCTTCCCAATCCCATGACTGCCGATTGCCCGCTGGCACTTTGCCACTCTCATTTAGCTTCCCCTTTCAAATCCCTTGGGAGCAATTAGGATTCATCGTCAGGATATAGAAGGCCACACAATAGACTAGAAAGATTGACAGTGAAAATAATCACCTCCGGACACGCTTTTTCCTGATTTTTCAGTCTGTGATTTTTCACAAAACCCTCCCGTGACTTGGCCTTTGGCATCTGGTGCTGCCTCTGTCCAAACTGCCTCTATCTGACTCCCATCAAGCTGGGTAAAAGCCAGAACATTTGGAAGAGGCAGGTGATGCCTGTGTTAGACAATATATTCCCAGTACTGAGAATAAATGTAGCAGCAGAGCACCTCTGTCCCAGGGTTGTCCTCACACGGAGCGATGCTGCTCAGTTCTGCTCAGCAGGGACTTGGTGCGGGTGAAACCCAGGGGTTGGTGGTATTTGGTGGTATTCGTGGCCTACAGAAGAGTCTGGTTGAGTCACTTGAGTCCTTCCTGCAGACAGGCAGTCAGACCAAAACATCTTGGGAAGAAAACTTCATTTCTGACCAAGCACTGATTACAGCTTGGTCAGAAATCCTACAGTTGTGCCTCTTCCCAGGTCTAGGTTTTGTGAAAGGAGTATTTCCCATCAGGAGACTGGGAATCACATAGCTTCATAGCAAAACATCCACTGGCCAGCCAGGTCGTGTTCTTGCTCTTGATACTGTCTCATAATTTCATTTTATTTTCCATGCCAGCAGGGATGGAGCTGGGTAGTGCATGGTAGACTTATGCATGCAGGCAAAGCATGATTCAGTCCCATGTGGCCATACCAGTCTATGTAGCCGCCCAAAGGAGGCTCTTAAGACTTGACATATGAAGTACCTCTTATTGTGGAGAAAGTAAAAACTCTTCTACTGTATTAGACCCCAAAAAAATGTTTTCCAGGGATATGGCAGGATTGAATTCATGCAGAGGGTGAGAGACACCATATCAAACATTGCTGTGATAAAATGGGAGGCAGGTGATCAACATGGCATTTACCAGAGTGCCCGAAACTATGCAAGAATAAACTAGTGGTGGGTTTGCTGGGATGATTTGAGATGATTGCGTCCTATTGAAAAATCTTTGACTTTTTTTACTCTGGTCGTTCTTCCCCAGCATTTCTATGTATTTCAGATTTATCAGTGAACAGGATATTTTTCTGCTCTTCTCCATCCCTTTTTGCTCGAGCTTGTCTCTGCCAGCCTAACATGCCTATTAGTGCTTTGATTGCAAAAAAAAAACCTGTTTATTTTCAAGCTGATTATTTCTGTCCCCAAGCTGTTCTGGCGCCGCAGGATTCACTGTTGGTGCTTCTTACAGTTTTGGAAACAGTGGAATCACAAAATAGAAGGAAAATATATATTATTAATTATATTAAGCCAAAAATGGTTTAAGACTGTAATTTAGTTGGGGAGGAAGGCAGGAAGCAAGATCAAGATTATTTTAGTCACTTTTTTTCCCCTTGAAAACAGGCTTTTGTTGTGTCAGAGAGTTAATTATGGGCATGGTGAAGGTTTCTGTTTGTTGATAAGTAGCTCTATAGATAAAATTCTTAAGTAACTGGCAATATAGTGGTGTCTTCTGTGCTTGCCCATTTTGTATAAGAACCATAGAATCATAGGGACACCTTCCACTAGATCAGGTTGCTCAAAGCCTCATCCAATCTGGCCTTGAACACTTCCAGAGACAGTGCATTCAAAACTTCTCTGGGCAACCTGTTCCAGTGCCTCACCACCCTCACAGTAAAGAATTTCTTCCTAATGTCTCAATATAAATCTGTCCTCTTTCAGTGTCAAGCCATTATCCCTATCCTGTCACTACATGCCCTCTCCAGGTTTCTTGTAGACCCCTTTTAGGTTTTGGAAGGCTGCTATAAGGTCTTCCTGGAGCCTTCTCTTCTCCAAACTGAACAAACCCAACTCTCAGCCTGTCTTCATAGGAGAACTGCTCCAGCCCTCTGATCATCTTCATGGCTCTTCTTTGGACTCCCTCCAGCCAGTCCATGCCATTCATATGTTGGAGACTCCAGACCTGAATGCAGTAATGGCCATAAGAGACTGTAAAATTTTTCCCAAAACATGTGAAGGAGAACTGCAGGGGAAAAGACATGCAAAGGAAGACTATGTAGGCTGGACGGTAGCTGGGGATGGGGGTATTCGTCACAGCTTTAGAGGCACTGTGTAGCAATATTACTTATCATGGTGCTGCTCCTTTCTGACTATTAATTACGTTTACTTCCATGAAATCTGTGGTTGTTAACCAATCTTTTTACTTCCTCCCTGCCACCAGGTAATGAGCAATGAGATGCTTCAGAGGGCTGGGGGAAAGATTGGTGGCGGTAGGAGGCACTGATCTCTGGGGAGTTCTTGTGTATCTCTGTGTGTGTCCTTATTGCTTGTATCCCCCTTCCTTCTTCTGTAGCCACCTTGCCTCTCTCACACATACCCTTATGCTCTTGATCTCACTAGTTTATAAAGAATGTAATGCCCCATAGACTTGGCTAGACGACGGGGATAAAAATATAGCTCATCTTATTAGAAAGCTATCTCAGGAAAGTCTAAGAGCACTGGCTTGGTCATCTGTCGCACCCTGATTCCCTTCATATGTTTAGAAGTACTTTATTTTTAGCTACCTGCTGCATTCAGCTAGACTCTATGCAAATTTTATTTAATGAATATTTTAGGGTTTAAATAGTCTGTGCTCATTAACATTATATAAATGTCATGTTGTTTCTGGCTCTCCAGTAAAGGCATGGAGAACATCCTGCAGCATAAAGCTGAAACCAGATGAAATTGGTGGTTAATACTCCCAGGGAAGGCAGCATAGCTGTCCTCAGCAGGGACATTAGCAGTGTGGTCAGGGGAGAGTACCTGAAGGAGCACCCATGGGAGAGCGGCAGCATCTCCTGCTCTGCACCAAGAGTCATACTGCTGGGTGCAGGCAGCTGGTTTAGGGTCAGTTTTTCCCTTCCAGAGGCTTTGGGAAGTCCTAGGTATGCATGGATCATATACCAGATCATATGTCATCCCAGATCAGTTGGGATGGTCTGTCTGATGCTGAGACTAGCCAGGATAGCTCGGAAATCTACCTTTTTCGCATTGGATTAGCTTTTTACAGGTGCTTACTGTTGATTGCATTTGGTGCACCAGACAGATGATGATAGCCTTCTCCAGCAAAATGCCAACAAAAACAATCAACCTATTTGCTGGGGTTTTTTTTATTTCTTCACCTTCCACATATTTTCTTATCTTTCTACTCCTTAAATACACTGTACACATGTAAAAAACCAAGCTAAAACCTCAATAAATAAAACCAAAAATACTAGTATGCAGAGCGGTTATTGCGTGCTGGAAGCAAATGCTTGATATTTTGACAGTGTTGCTTAAAACCCCAAACTACAACTTAAAAGACAAAAACACAGTTGCTCACAACCTTCTCAGCTAGTGTGCATGGGAGTACTTGTACAGATGACCCAGTATCTCCAACTGCCGCTTGTAATCAACTGCATCTTATGTTACAACTTTGGAAAGGTTTTTTCCAGCAGCACTATGCTCGATGGGTAAATTACATCCGTAATAAAAACGTTTTCAGCGTGTCTTCTCCCACTTCTCTCTGAGGCATCTCAGGCAGTTTAATTCAAGTCCTCATGGCAAGACGGCTCAGTACAGGCATAAGCCCTGCAGTCTTTGTGTCCCATGGACAGTAAAGGCTTCACCTTGCAGCATGCACAAGCCTGCAGTAACATCCACTGATATATGTTTTTGAGAGATGAATGTTAATAAGCAAGCTCTCAACAAACTGGGTGGAGGATTCCTGCGTACGCCACTCGGGAAGCAGCAGCACCTCACCCCAGGCATCTCTTAGCACTTAGTTGCACAAATGCAAGAAAGGGGTGGGAAAACGGACGTTGGGCAGGGGGAAGTTAAAAGGAAAAAGCCCCTAATTTCTGGCAAGGCTTCATCCTTTGGCTGAAATGTGCCAAAAGCAATTTCTCAGGTGTTTTCCATAGGCAGCCAGAGAAAAGCATGAGGTTGTACTGGATTAGCCTGTAATGGGAGGCCAATTTGAGGCAGGCTAAAGCCTTGCTGCAGCTGTCAGATGCCTGCTGTGGCCAGCTCCTAGTTTCCTCACCTTAAAAAAACAGGAAAGATGATTTTATGGTTTGCCACCGAGGACTTCAGCAGCCCTTTTTTTGAGAAGCTCCCTCCCTGCTAAATAGATAAGCTGCTTTTGGTGCAAGTGCCTCAGCTCTGCCCTTTGGTCACTTTCACCTCACTCTCCTTGCTTGCGTTGCAACCATTCATACATAAAGACGAAAGGCCTCATTGCTCAAGCTGCTGTTCCTATCAGCCAGAAAGAGTGCTTCATGTTAAATAGGTGGGATTTTTGAGTATTTTTCCCCAAGACACGCTGTGTACCCAGGCATTTTTATCTGCTAGCAGTTTGTGCTGCAATGCAAAGCAGCCCGCCAAGCTACCAGCAGCGGAAATGAAAGGAGAAAATGCATCCCACTGCTTGGGGAAAAAAAAAAAAAGGAGAGATGAGCAGCAAGGATGAAAGTCCCTCTTTTTCAGGAAAAAAAAAAAGAAAAGCCAAAATAGCCAAGCTGGAAGGTGCTCTTTCTATGCTGATGTGCAGAGCAACACAGATTTGCTTGCCTTTGGGTGGGTAGGAGATGGGGTGAAATTATTATGCTTAGAAAATGGCACCAGGACAGCTCTTAATTCTTTTTGAATGTGTCCAGCTTATCTTAACCTCTCCCTCAAATACTATTTATAAAAAAGCCTGCATGTGTTCACCCCAGATTGCACATGGCTGCCTCTTCCCGACCTGCGCGTGTAAAAGGAGGTGTTTTCCTCCCCAGGGCTACAGTGATTATAGAGGCAGCTGTAAAGCAGAGCACTCAGGATGTGAAGTGCCCTTCAGATAATGTGTGATAGCAAAACAAATCTGTTTACTCTGCATTTATACTAACTATTTATTATAAAGGGGTGGGGGGATCACAAAGAATGCAGTTGCTCAAATAAGCTGGTACAAGCTGGTGGTTGCAGCTTGACTCTGACATGTCCTTGCTTGAGCTGGGTCAAACCCAGAGAAGCAGAGTCGCCTCGGCATTGCCCTTCGTCTGGAGAGCAGTGGGCACCAGTGGCCAATACTGCTATCCTCACACCATTTAATAAATAACTGGCTGATGTGGGGCCGCAGCCAGGCAAATCTGTACCACTGGCTTCAGCAAAAAGGGTGGGAGGAGGTTCCTGATGAGATGTTGGCCCATAAATGCATTCTCCTGCTCTGTACAAGCCTTCCTTCTCAAGGCAAGAGCAGGCTTCCTATGCTTTGAGGGTGGAAATGATCTTAAAAATAGCTGGTGGCTGCTGCAGGGTCCTGCTTTGGGGCTTTACTTGCTCTCCCCTTGTTTTTCACAGAAAGCGGAAGGACGCCCAAGCAGGAACCAGTCTTCAGGCGAGTGACCATGGAAGACAGTGTCATCTAGGGATGACACCCAACGAGCCTGCCTCAGCAAGCCCATGACAGTGCACCTCCTCAGCTCCTCTGTGCCTCAGTTTACCCCTCCCTTATTGGGATCATGTAATGAGAGAGACCGGAGAAACTAGCCTCAACCAAAACCTTCAGCAAACCCTTACATCCCCGAGGAGAAGACAGTCCATCTGGGATTCCCAATGCCTCATGCATGGCAGCACCTTGGGAAGTGCCCTCACTGCTTGGTCACTCGCTTTTTTGTTAAGATGAGCAGAACAGGCGAAAAATGTCTTTTGTAATAAGAAATTGGTTTCATCTACTCCAAACGTTGGCTTTGCAACTTGAAAACTTTTAAATATGGCTGAGCATGCACAAACCCCCCATCCTGAGCCCCTCTCCATGTTCACAACCTGGGCTGTATAAAGGCAACCCTGACGGACCCAGGTCCCTGTTGTAAATACAAACCTGTCTGTGTGGAGAGGTAATGAGGGAAGGAAAACAGGGACAAAGAAATAGTCCTTATACCAGAAGAAGCTGAACTTGTCAGCAGAGTACTGTTGAGTGGAGCTGTCACTTTTAAGTGGGGACCGGCACACATGTCCAGCAGTGGCTCCTCATTGCAAAACTTCTTTGTGGGGGAAGCTGTTCAGATTTTATTGTCTTGTGTAAATAGAGATATTTTTTTGAAAAAATGAGCCTTAGTATATTGAAGATAGCGTTTCTCAATCAGCTCAGCTGGGATGGATATATGGGAAACCATGGCATTTGCATAGTGAAGGCTGTCATGGCGTTTTGGAGCTAAGCTGTGCCGCCGTGGCTGGCGCAGGAGGCACCTGAAAGACGACAGACACATCCAGGAGAGGACTCAGCAGATGTTTCTCCTTTGTTCCTGTAAACAGGGTAGACTCGCTGCACCCATGATCTCCACTGGTGTAAATACTCAGCTACAGCCCACAGTGGTCATGGGCCACTTGATGCAGGGGTGGGGGAAGTGGGATGGGCAGAAATCACCAGAGGGATGCAAACCCCATCGGTGTGGGTCCCCTCAGGGTTTTAGCATTAATTTAAAAAAAAAAGAAAGAAAAAGAGAAAGAAACCCTGAAGACTTGTTAATGGTGTTGGGCCAGCTATTGGGCAGGATAAATGGAAGACATCTGTCATGTCAGCCTCTATATGCAGTTCTCCTTGGCATATGTGCAAATGAGTGTGCAAGATCATGCCCTGCTTGGGTGGCTGCCAGCCAGCACAGGTCCCTGTGTCTGTGTACCTGTGTCCATGAGAGAAGAAGAGATGGTATGGATGTGTATGTCTTATATGCCTAGACACATTTCAGAAGTCACAAGTAACACTGCCAGGTCCAGCTTTATTAGCATGAGTGCAGAGTAGTGTTTGCATCAATCTGGGGAGCAAGGCAGGCTAGGCTGGGAAGGCAGTGTTAGATGAGCAAAAGCTGATAAATCTCTGCTTCACACTGATTCATCATCCGCTGTCCCACCATGACATGACAGTGGGCATCTGCAAATGCTCCTGACAGAGCAGGGCTATGTTGGATGCTGGTAGCCGCAGCCTGGTACCTGGTGGAAGCAGGAAAAGAACTTTGGGGTTTCCCCTTTATCCTTCTCAGTTCAAAGCTTACTTATGCTTTATTTACTCTGAGTCTGACCCTGTGGATTCATGCAGCAGAGGGAAATTTGGGGGGTGGGGGAATTAAGAAAGAAAAGGGTATTTTTGAAAACAACACATAATAATTTTCTCTAGACATAAAAGCCTCTCTTTGGCCTGGCGTTTTGCAAGAAAGAAGGGCCAAGGTGGAAGTGACCCCTCCCTATCAAAAAGTCAGATAGCATAAACCAGCTGTTGCACATATTTAACATAATACTGTGCCCTATACCTTTGCAAAGAAATGGGCGATAAACAGAAATTGAAAGCTGCCCCAGAGACGTTTGGGCATCCAGAGTGCTAATTCACTTGCAGTGAGTGGTTCAAGGTGAGGTGCAGGGATAGTCTTTTCCTCTTGTGTACTTGAATGCCTCCTCTGTCATCTGGCTTTGTGGGGCTGCTGCTACCATTAACACCTAGCAATTGCCACTGCCAAGTGATTTATTTATTTAGCAAACCATTTATTTATTTATTTATCAAATTGGTGCTCAGGAGACACAGTGCTTTCGTCTGCCACAGGTGGACACCTCTTTCTTTGCCCACTTCTTCAGGCTTGTATGGTGTCCCCAGACAAAGTGGCCATCATGCTGGGGAGATTCAGGTTTCTGCCCACTACAGTCTGTCATCCTTTTTTAACAGGGAGAAAAATAATGAAAAATATGAACAACCCTCCCCATCTTTGTGCCAGAAATGTTCTGAAAATCAGGCAGTATATTAAGCAAAATAAATACCTCCAAAAAAGTCTGAAAGCTCACGATCTTTTAAAGTCTCAAGGGAACCATCCTTACAGTTTCTAGAGCCCCAAAGAGCAGTGCGGAGTCCTGAGCCCGAGGATGCCTGACCCTGGGGAGGTCTGGGGAGCTGCAGGGGATTAAAAGGGGGGCTGCAATTGCAGGAAAGCAGAAATTCCCTGTTTTTTCACTAGGTCGCAGAAAAGCAGAAATCCCCTGGGTTTTGTTTGTTTTTCATTAGAGGGTCACTACTAGTTTCTCTCTCCGGACAATCCCATCATTCCGCACCTTAAACCCTCACCGTTATGACTAGAAGAGTTATTCTTGGAGGCATTTATGACAATCTTCAATGTCTCTCTCTCTCCCCATTGCCAGAGAGGCTGACACCCAGTAACTAATGGTGATGGCTGCAAAGATGAGACAGGCTGACCCCAAGTCCTAATAAAAATG